AGATCATCAAAAGAGATGACATCTTAGGCTCCAGAGTATGCAATAAGAATTAATGGGAAACTATTTTCAAATAAACAATTCAATTTATTTTTTTTAAATATTCTATCAAATGTATTTACTTCTTTTCAAAAGCAACAAAGAGAAAAATACTTGTTTTCAGTTTATATCACCTGGCTGTATTTTCTATGGGCACGTTAAAGCTAGATACAAATACAGAAAATCTCAAGCAAGGTGACAAGTTTCAGAATCCACATATCAGGAAACTAAGGTATACTTTATATTTGGACAGCACATTCTAAAAACACCAGCTTAACTTTCCCAATTGGAAACCTAATTCCTGTCACTGCAAAAAAAAATAAATTGATGCTAATTTTTTAATTTGTAAGATGCACGTATAATTTAAGTTTTCCTTATTAAATGTGCAGTTGTAGACATTGCTGGTGACCTGATGACTTGTGAAAGATGACTTCCATGCAACCAGAACTCTAGGCTTAGTGGAAATAAGTTGGAAGCCAAGATAACTTGGAAAAACACAAAACTAACAGCTGACACTAGCCACAGAAGTTAAATCACCAGGAAAGGCCTCTTGGTAGAACCTCTGCCTTGCTGCTGGTGGGTGCCGAGTTAGTAGCTGCAGCCAACAGAGCCCCACTGTCTCCTGACCTTTTGCTGGCAACAGATGAACCAGGGAAATGACATGGCAGCCTGTAAGGTTCTACTGCCTCTTATTCCCCCGGAAAATCACAGAACAAGAAAATCAGAACGTTCTATGCAAAAAACAAAGAAACACACTAAAAAGATATGACCGAGAACATTCCTCCACCCAATGCTCCAGTTGCCATCAACTCCCACCTCCTCAGAAATCACACAGTAACAACTTTCGCCTTCACTGCATTTTCAAATTCTCCCTCTCAACTAGCTCCTTCCCAACAGCAACTTTAAATTCTCAAAACTTCAAATTATTTCCTTTCCCTAAGGTTTCCTGAAACAGCTCTTCCCAACATCATTTCTTTGTTGCTGAAGTCCACAGACACTTTTCAGAACTCTCTGGAACATCCAGGAACCCCTCCTCCCTGAACCCCTTCCCTGGATTCTTAGACACCCCCCACCCCCAGACTCCCCCCTGCCTCTCTGGTTGCTTCTTCTGAGAGTTGCCTCTTTCTTTGCTCATCTCTTACATACCAGTGTTCCCCAGGATTTTGTGTCTCTTTCCTTAATCATCTCTTACGTACCAGTGTTCCCCAGGATTCTGTCCCTATTTTTTCTCATGCATGCTCTCTGGACATTACCACTCAGTAGTTTCAACTTCTGCTTCCATAAATCTATAGCTCCACTTTACTAAGGTCAGTAAAGTGCTTAGAACAGAGACTGGCACAGGGTAAGGGCTCAGTAAATGTCAGCTACCTTCATTGTAATTTCCCTTCTCAGCTTCAGACTTGTATGTACCTATTTATGTTTAATGGACTATTGGACATTTCTATATTCCTATCTATATTTAATATCTATATTCCTAAAACTCATCATATCCAAAACTGAATTCATCCTCCTCTCCCCCAACAAAAAACAAAAAAATAAAAACCTGTTCTTCTTTCTACATTCATTTACTCATTCTTTCAAAAAATATACTGAGTCAGATACTATTGCAGGTATTAGGGATTGAAAGTGCACATGTCAGCCAAGGCCCTTTCCGCCCTCCTGACCTTACATTTCAGGTAAGGGGGGCACAAAAAGCAACTAGATAATTGCAGATAATACATGCCCTGTTGACAGATCCATCAGGGCGATTAAAAACTGGATGCCTACTTTATATAAGGAGGTCAGAGAAAAGCTCTCTGAGGAGGTGACATCTGAGCTAGAACATGAATTATACATCCATCCCAGATGAGCCCCAAAGGACCATGGCAAAGGAGATCTTCGCAGAGAACAAAACCAAAAGCAGCCAAACAGGCCAACTGAGGAGTTGGCTCTGCAGCTAGTGCGTAGGAGTCTTACTCTTATCCAGCAGGATGTGACACAGTAGCTACTGAGCATGTCCATTCTCCCATCCTTCCAATAACAACTTTTTCTTGCAGCAGCCTTGTTCTCCCTCCCACGTTGTGTGCTGGGATGTGTTAGAATAGCTGGCTTAACCTCTGGACCATAGGGGCTAACGGAAAAGACAGGCATGCCCTAAAGATGCTGGGCGTGCGGCCAGTTGCAGTCACTGTCAGCAACAGTCGCACACCTTCCTTTGGGAAGAGGTTCCTGTGTTTTCCTATGCTTGCCCAAGTCAGGAACCAAAGACCTGACCCTAACTCGTCCTGTCCCTGGTGCCTCAACCAATCGATTCAACCTTTTTAATATCTTTGACATTCAACTATTTTTCCATCCCTACTGTCACTTCCCTGGCTCAATTCTTCCAGAAATGACTGCAACAGCGTCCTAATCAAATCATTTTCTCAAGCTGCTTCCTTCCAATAGTTCTCCTTGAAACCACTGAAGTTACCCTTCCACAAGACAAATCTGAACATGTAATTACCCTACTTAAAACCTCTTTTTGCTTTTTTAAAAATGACTGCAACAGCGTCCTAATCAAATCATTTTCTCAAGCTGCTTCCTTCCAATAGTTCTTGAAACCACTGAAGTTACCCTTCCACAAGACAAATCTGAACATGTAATTACCCTACTTAAAACCTCTTTTTGCTTTTTTACAGTCTTTAAGTAAAGACCAAATGCCTCAGAATGGCATACAGAGCCATCCATATTCTGGCTTCCACTTTGCGATTTCCACAGACTCTT